TGCCGCGAAAATCGCCCCATCGGCCGATTTTTTTCCCAACTTTACCAAGAAAAAAAAAAAACGGCCAAAATCCCAGAAAAAAAACGGCCGACCCCCCAAATCGCCCACTAACGATCCGAAAAATCGGCCGATTTTATTTTCGCCGACAAATCGCCGATTTCGACCCATCTATGGCCTCCATAATTTTGTAACCATTAGTAATTTCTGAATTTTGTCTGTTTGTTGACTGAGTGCTTTAGTAAATCTTTTTCTCTGTCTAAAAGTAGTCGGTCATGCAAGGAACTGTGACCATTTGCTGACAAGGTGCTTTAGTAAAATCAACTCCAAAATAACAGATTCCCACCGACTGAGGTGTTTTGTAAATAATCTGGTCGCAAGATATTGGGTTTTGCAAACAGACCAGTCACTTTGAATTGTTAAATTATACTACTCTATTACTTTCATGTGGCATCTTTGAGCATCCCTCAAACATGCTATTCATTTGAGTGTTTATATTGCCCTCTAAGTCACATTATTATACCCTCCCTCCCGCACTATACAACATATACTTTTTTTCATTTGCATTGGTAACAATGTCCTCCATGTCGTGAGTGTCCCACTACCCATATCCCATATTATTTAAAGCCTAAAACTTTTTTGAAAAAAGGGTGAAAAAAAATAACATTCAGCTCCCATAGACTTCAGTGAATTTGGTGCTATGGTCCTGCAAGGTTTGTCAAATGCCCCAGCAACTCTGCCTGGCTCATTCATTCCTAATGATAATTACATAAATGTTTGAAAAATGCATACATTTGCAAAATATATTATTGGATTCTAATGAAATGCTTTGCTCTGTGAAGTATGTATAATCAAACATCAAAAGGTAATTGTAAGAGACTTTGTAAATATAGCTTCCTACCACTGCCTTTTTGTTTGTGATTTGAAAGCTGTCATCATGAGCCAAGTCTGCAGTCTGCATTGATCAGAAATACAATGTACAGGGCAGCTACCTATTTGTGCTAGGATTTCATACTTCAGTTTTAAAAGCTGGAACACCAGCAAAATTCTACCTAAACATAAAAGGCCCATGTGTATTCTTACATGAATGTTGGTGTATTTTGTATATTTCTTCCAGATCTGTGCAGTCTAAAATCCAGAATGAAGTTTTTTTTCTTTGCCTCTATGCAAGCCTTCCGAGAGCAGACTGGTCACTCCCTGCTTTCTCCCCTTGTGCAGGGTAGATTGTTCTGTATCCAGGCCTCTGTAGGTTTCTACAGGCAGTCTGTAGTGGTGGGCCTGTTGTTCCCTCTCATAGTTCTATTTCTCTGCCAGCCCTAATTACAACCAAATATTTACTAATTAATTAACAATTAATACAATTACATGCAGTACACAATACATATATTAAATATAATTTATTGAGAGTTTTCCATGCCCTGACTTTCAGCTTGCAAATAAAATAAATAAACTTAATATTAAAAAGTAATAAATGCCCCCCTTTATTTGGGTTCAGTGCAGTAATAACTAACCCTCTTCATTGTGTTAGTGACAATGTCAGCAATAAATATTTCCCCTTCATTGGTGTTCATTGGCATTGTCAACAGATAATATCACCCTTTCTTCTTTGTTGTCAGTGGCATAAATTCACTGGTTACTTATTTGAACACACACTCACATGTTGCTGTTTTTCTATTCTGTAGGACCAGAACTACATTATGCCCATTGATTATAGAGCAGTGAGGAGTGATCTCCATGGTAGGAGAAGTAATCAGTAGATCACTCTCCCTTACAGGTAGGGCATTTAGCACCCAGCATCCTTCTTCACCCTACATCATATGCTGTATACCTGAGACCTTGTAAGCTGCCAAGAAAATGCACCATGGATCACATGAGCCTCAGTCCACCAGTTGGTAAGCCCTGATCCCTGTGTAGTCTTGCAATGCTCTGATTATATATGTGGTGAGGCAGGCATTTACAGTCCCCTTTCCGCCCCTACACTCCACCAAACACTGCCCTACCTCAAACTCTCCAACGACCCTGCTAACCGCCAAAGCTAATGGCCGCTATTCAGTGCTCCTACTCCTTGACCTCTCCGCGGCCTTCGACACAGTCGACCACCCCCTCCCTCCTCAAAAACTACACTCCCTCGGCCTCAGAGATTCTGCTCTCTCCTGGCTCTCATCCTACCTGTCACAACGCTCTTTCAGCGTTACCTATAATGCTACCACCTCCCCCTCACTCCCCCTCTCTGTTACGGTCCCTCAAGGCTCCGTCCTCAGGCTCCTTCTCTTCTCCATCTACACCTCCTCCCTTGGCCAACTCATACACTCTCATGGCTTCAACTACCACCTATATGCGGACGACACACAAATCTATCTCTCAACCCCCCACCTCACCCCCTCAGTCTCCGCCCGAATCACACACCTACTGAGCGACATATCAGACTGATGTTGCGCCACTTCCTTAAACTGAAACTCTCCAAAACCGAGTTTCTTGTCTTCCCCCCAGCCCGGACCCCACCCCCCATTGACTTCTCCATCATGTCCAACAATGCCACCATCAAACTCGCCCCGCAGGCCAGAGTACTTGGTGTCATTCTGGACTCCAACCTATCCTTCCAGCCCCAAGTCCAATCTTTAACTAACTCATGCAGACTCCACCTCCACAACATCGCCAAAATACGCACGTTCCTAACCCCAGAAACCACTAAACAGCTCATCCACTCCCTCATCATATCACGACTCGATTACTGCAACTCCCTCCTTACTGGCCTGCCTCGCCGCTGGCTATCCCCGCTTCAGTCGATCCTGAATATGGCTTCCAGACTCATTCACTTTTCCAACCGCTCAGTTTCCGCCACCCCCCTCTGCCAATCCCTCCACTGGCTTCCGATTGCACAACAGATCAAATTCAAATCCTAACAATGACGTAGAAAGCTGTCCACCATACTGCCCCGAACTACATCACCGACCTAATATCCAAGTACCACCCAGCATGCACACTCCGCTCCTCACAAGACCTCCTTCTCTCTAGTTCCCTGGTCTCCTCCTCCCATGCCCACCTCCAGGACTTCTCCAGGGTGCCACCCATCCTCTGGAACTCCCTGCCCCAACCCATCAGATTATCACCTACTCTCCTCTCCTTTAGGTGCACCCTGAAAACCCACCTCTTCAGGGAAGCCTACCTCACCCTCTGCTAACTTGCCGACCTCCTCCACTCTTCCTACCACTCCATCCCCCACAGCTATCTCCTCCTGTGCCACCATCCCCTCCCTCCTAGATTGTAAGCTCGAAAGAGCAGGGCCCTCGATCCCCTCATGTTTTGCATTGTATTGTTATTGTTCTGTCACATGTTCTGTCCCCCTTTGTAATGTACAGCGCTGAGCGAACTATTGGCGCTTTATAAATACTGTATGATAATAATAATTTATAGTCCAGTTGTTGATGTTAAATTATTCTCACTGTTAAATTATTCAGATAATTACATTACAGTTCTGCAACAGACATTGCACTGCAGAAAACTATTGCGTAAAGTGGGTTTCAATCATTAGACATCAACTTGAATGAATTAAAAATGTGTGATTCTTTTGTCCTTTTCTGAACCACGTAAGAACTGCCCCATAGCAGATATACTACTACAGGGTGGCTCCGCTGCGCAAAATCACAAACAAATAAGTGATTTTGCATTACCAGGTAGGGGGCGCACACGTGCATGCTGCCCTACCCACACTGATATTGGCTGCTAGATATGTCAATCACCGGGTCCCTGCCTTATTGTAAATAGGGATCCATTTCTATTTTGTGGTAATGCATTGCTGCATTGTGGTGCTATTCATGTTTAATAGCACCACAACAAACATGTTGTGTTCATTTTTAAGCATGTTAGGGTGCATTGTCTTAATGCAACACGTTAACACATGACATATGTTAACCCATTGTCGCAATGTAAATGGGCTCTGTAATATTTTGCCTCTATTGAAGTGTGTTGGGAGCCTATTCAAATGACTGGACTTCCATACACAATACACCTTAAAACAAGTGTAGTAATACACCACAAAATGATGCAAAAATTGTGAATCCAGCATAAAATGTGTGTGTTCGGGGGTGTAACTAGTAGTATTTTTTTTATTATTTAATTAAGTACCGTACCTGGTGACAGTACACATGAAAATTCAGGTCCAACTCCTCTTTAATGAGACATTCAAAGGTTTATTTACTAAAGCTGGAAAGTACAAAATCAGTCTCACTTCCGCATAGAAACCAATCCGCTTCTAACCTCAGCTTGTTCCATTAAGCTTTGGCAATGAAACCTGGAAGTTGATTAGTTTCTATGTAGATGTGAGCCTGATTTTGCACTTTCCAGCTTTAACAAATTAACCCCTCAGGATATAAAAGAGTTCTCGGTCTCTCACTCCACAGCACTTGGCACTGCACTGACCTTGCAAATGCACATTAATGATTTAGTTTAACTCTGCATGAGATCAATAAACATTAGTAATGTTTACTAATCTCTCCCCTCTCCATCCTGAGAAAAATGTCAGTGATGGACCAACACAGAGATAGAGCCAATCTCATTGCTGGAATTCAAACAAGCCGCAGTAGCTGGTGAACAGCAGTGGCACACTAGGGAATGTGAAAAATCTTACTAAAAAACCAACAATCATATTCATTCATAATTATAGGCAATCCTGGGAATAAGATGGCTAAACATTTTGGGTTGCTGAAGTGACCATAAACTTACAGTATGTGAAAATGCCGTGGACATAATTGTCACCTAGCTGGCCACCTGCAAGCGATGCAGTTATGGCTTAACCATTACATCTGTGACAGTGAAAGGATTAAAGCCCAAATTTTTAATTTTGTTTTATATACTACTTTTTCCTGTAATATATATATATATATATATATATATACACACACACACTATTTTGTCAAAAGTATTGGGACTCCCCTCCAAATCATTAGATTCAAGTGTTTCAATCACCTCCATGGACACAAGTATATAAAATCAAGCACCTTGGCATGCAGACTGCATCTACAGACATTTGTGAAAGAATGAGTTTCCCTCAGGAGCTCAGTGAATTCAAGTGTAGTACCGTGATAGGTTTCCACCTGTGCAATAAATCCATCTGTGAAATTTCCTTGCTACTAAATATTCCACGGTCAACTGTTAGTGGTATTATAACAAGTGGAACTTGGAACAACAGCAACTCAGCCACGAAGTGGTAGGCCACGTAAAATGAAAGAGTGGAGTCAGTGCATGCTGAAGTGCACAGTGCACAGAAGTCACCGACTGTCTGAGAATCAAGAGCTAAAGGCCTCCAAACTTCTTGTGGCTTTCAGATTAGCACAACAGTGTTGAGAGCTTCATGGAATGGGTTTCCATGGCCGAGCAGCTGCATCCAAGCCTTACATGACCAAGTGAAATGCAAAGCATTGGATGCAGTGGTATAAAGCACGCCGCCACTGGTCTCTAGAGCAGTGGAGACGAGTTCTCTGGAGTGATGAATAATGCTTCTCTGTCTGGAAATCCATTGGACATGTCTGGGTTTTGTGGTTGCCAGGAGAACGATACTTGCCTGACTGCATTGTGCCAAGTGCAAAGTTTGGTGGAGGGGGGAATATGGTGTGGGGTTGTTATATGGTGTTGGGCTCGGAGCCTTAGTTCCAGTTAAGTGAACTCTTAAGGCGTCAGCATACCAATACATTTTGGGCAATTTCATGCTCCCAATTTTGTGGGAACAGTTTGCTGGCACAGTCATGTTGGAACAGTCTGTTCCAACATGACTGTGCACCAGTGCACAAAGCAACATCCATAAGGACATGGATGAGCGAGTTTGGGGTGGAGGAACTTGACTGGCCTCAACCCGATAGAATACCTTTGAGGTGAATGAGAGTGGTGACTGCTAGCCCGGCCTTCTCATCCGACGTCCGTGCTTGACCTCACAAATGTGCTTCTGGAAGAATGTTCAAACATTCCCATAGACACTCCTAAACCTTGTGTACAGCCTTCCCAGAAGACTTGAAGTTGTTATAGCTGCAAAGGTGGGCCAGCTCAGTATTGAGCCCTACAGACTAAGAGTGGGATTCCATTAAAGTTCATTTGCGTGTAAAGGCAGGAATTCCAATACTTTTGGCAATATAGTGTATATTTACACACACACACACATATATATATTGCAGGGTACGTTCTGTGCCCCTACAGGAGAGATTTGCCTCTCTTTCTGCCTCCAATGGACACTAAGACAAAAACAGTTTTCTTAGTATAGTGAGTATGGGCTAGAACTTCTGCTAGTGTTTTTACTGCTTTCTGTGCTCTCCTGTTCTGGTGACAACAGTATCCCTATTGCTTATATGGTACCATACAGAATAATGGAATGCATGTAGAATTTTTGTTGTGGTATTAAAGCTCAACTTCATGATGCAAGAGTAGAGGCAGAGGCTGTATTACTTACTATATTTCTCAAGCCGAAGCTCTCCTTTTCTTCCTGCTGCTCCAGGCTGTGGGCAATCCTATGGTGCCATCGCATACTATGCAGGAATATTAGTCCTACAGTGTGTGTGTGGAGATAAGCATGCAACAGCAGAACAGAGTGAATATGAGAGGAGGCTGTGAAGAACTGGTTACATGTGTGGAGGGAGTTAGGCTTTATGTATGCAAGACTTTATGAGTAATGTTGATAAATGGCATACCAGAAATCATCTTTTGTTTCTCCATAATACAGGTCACCTCTTTTTAGTGCCAAGCAACTCATTGAGAACATTTAACAAGGTGACTTGAATGCCAAAAAGATATATAAAAGTAAACATGCTAAATGTAGCTTTACCATTACACTATGACCTCAGAGTTTATGGAGAAAGTGGAATAGTTAATGAAGTCCAGGAAAAAATGAGTCATTATAATTATCTTTTAACTCTGCATTAATTTTTTTATGAATTTTTATGTAATGCTTACAAACAACTTGATAGATGTATTGTCTTGTATTCGGGGGCATTTGCATCACATAATAATTTGGCAGATTGCTTAAAATGATTTTTGGTCTCTGAAGTTTCACAAAGTCTCCTCATCTAAAACAGCAATTACTAAGATACATAGCTCCAAAGCAAAAGCCTTTCATTTCCAAATGAATACAATTTACATATATTTGCAATATTAATTCTTATAAGTAATTTTAATAAGGCGTACAATCATCAGTAAAGTCAGTAATGATAATATGTAAGAATACATGAGATTCATATAAGATTAAAGAAACATCTAAATGTAGCAGTTATTAGTATTAATCATCCTGAATTTAAAAGTCATATCATCTATAATTCAACTAAATGACAGGTCCACTTACTAGATCAGATTCCCCTTACCCTGTAAAAATCATCATATATGACAGGGGCAAAATTGTACATGTAAGGACAACTGTTAGAATACATGTTTACCTTACCCCATTTTATGCCTGCTGTGCCTAGGTGAGCATGCCATCACAATCCCTTTTACTAAATCCAGGGAATGATAAGAATCCCAAATTTCACAAAAAGATGTTCTTGCAGTTGGATGGCGTGCCTTCTCCCAAGATTTGAGGTACTTGTCTTCCAAGAAATCATTCCAGAAGAAGGGTTATGCCATGTCTTGAAATGCGAAAGATGAGGGTTACCTATTCTTTCCAAGATTTTCCCTTACAATTACACCTTTGCCCTTGTAATATATAATAATTTTACAGGGGAGGGGGGAACCCGATCTAATTAAATGTACCATGCATTCTACAGCCTACTTTACTTGTCACACATAATCTAACAATGGAATACCATACTATCAATTGCTGTGAACAGTCAATTGAAATATTAGAATAAAAGTAATGTGGTATATTTCTTATATTTGACACTCAGGGCTGTTGTATACAACAAAATTATTTTCAGTAATAATAATGGAATGAAACAAAAATAATAATGACCAGTACATAAATGCAGACAGTGAAAATTGTAGTGTTCCCCAACATTGGTGGTCAGTGGAGAAATGGCTTCTTGCACTTGCAATGATGGCCAATTTAACAGTCCCTTTGGTCAGTATAGAGCCACCTTACACTGGTGGTCAGTGAAATTCGTCTTTGCCTTGGTGATCAGTGACAGAAAGACCCCTTACTGCAGTGGTCACTAGAAGTGTTGGTGAGAGAAGGGTCCCATTACACTTGTGGTCAGTTGGAAGAACATGCCTTCAAATTGGTGGTCAGTGGGAAGAATGTCCTACTTACAGATAGCTATAAAGATCATTTGTGTCAGTATTTACTTGTCTGAGAGTCAGAAATTGCTCATTGCTCAAGGAATCCCCCAGAAACCTCTTGAGTAACCATGATTGAGAATGGTCGGACTATTGTTTTCAACAAGCAGTGAGGAACCAAGGATAAAAGCTGTTTTCATTTACAAATATAGTTATAAACTATGCATTGAAACAACAAGCTTTTACCACATTAACAAAGACTACAAATATTGCTATTTCTTTCTTTTATGCACACATTTAACATTCATTAAAAAAAAAAAAAAAAAATACAAAGCCTATAGTTTCCCTTTTATATCCATTTTATGACCCAGCTCTTACCAGGCTGTGTGTTTTCAGGCTACACTTAAATTGTTTAAAAGATTTTACAGACATTTTCAAATTGTGGATTAACATACTTATGTGGAATTATAACAATATTTGAAGAGTCAAACTCAAAGCTGATTAGTTGCCTCTATGTTTTAATTTCCCTTTGCTTAATGTATTTTGGTTGTTCTCCAGATATAATCTTGTTAAACTATGATAGCTTCATTTCAAAGCATTTATGCATCAATGCCCACGTGTAAGCAGCTTTCTTTGCAATAGCTAAAAAAAAGTGCAGTAAACCACATTGGTTGTAATACGAATAGATTCATTTTATAGCTAAGAACAAAAATAAAATAGTATTTTGACACTTATGAATGCTATAAAATCAGCTGCACCAGGCAAATTACCAGGCATGCTGAGATAAACATAATTAAAATTTACTCATTCTAAGGTTACTTAAATCCACTAATATTAAAAGAAACTGGTTTTGAACAAATTATTTAGTTCCACTTGAAATTGTTAACACCAGTATAAAGATATTAAAGTGGTTCTAAAGATGTAAGGTTTTTCTTTACATTAATGCATTGTCTGTATCCCACAAAGCCCTCCAAATCCTTTTCTGAGCCCATTCTTGGTCCAGCACTGTACCTGAGAGTAGTGGCTCTCTCATCGTGATCTCCCTTCATAGGACAGAGAGATATAGTTAAATCCTGAGATGAGAAAGTTGGAGCTGGGCAGAGCTGTCTGTGTCTATGTATTCAGGCACCAGCCTGAATGATACAGTGAGATGTCAATGGTGGTGGTGGTATTGCTAATACCAGTAGTAATTTAAGGAGGAAGCTGCCTTCATCTTGCAATGCGTGATGTGTAAGGCTGTACTGAGATTAAGATCTTTGTTTTATGCCAGAGTGCCTTCAGTGATCAAAATGTGTTATTCACATGAGAGCTCTGGAGGTTGACCAAAGTGGTTGGTTTTTCTATCCCTTATGTGGGAGGGTCAAAATACAGGTCCTGTATTTAAGAAAGGTTGGAGCATTCAGACAAGTTTTGCTCTGAAGAAGAGGACATATTCCTCGAAACACGTCAGTTGGTAGTTTGACTCATGTTAGGACCATTTTAGTTAGTTAGTTTTGGTCCCTGGAATTGTGTACAACACTGGTTTTACCATATGCTCTTGTCGGTATGAACTCATTGGTTTTTATTCCCAATAAAGTGTTGACAATAATGCACTAGGCCTTTGTGCCCTTTTGTTTTGTTTTTTTGTTTCTGGGGACTTCTTCAAGCCCCAGGCACTTGCTTTTTAATGCACCACAAAGCACAGATGAGAATAATTTGTGTATTGTGATGCACTGGGGGAAAAGGTGCAGAAGCATTAAAAGTTCTATTGTGGTGCATTGGTAACCCATGCATTGTGCAACATAATGTACATTAACAGCCTAAGTCAGGTTAGGATGATTGTGTTCTGAAATATGAAATTGGAATGTGAAGTTTAAAATTTAATTTTACAAAATCTATCAACAGACTGTATTTAAATTTAAAAAATGGCTGTAGAACCACTTTGAAAATTAATCAGATATGCTTTTGCTTAGCTCTCCCATTCACTTTAAAATTAGTGTCTTGTTTTCAATAACTACCAAATGCTCTCCCTTGCAAAAGTCACAGCTGCTCTGATTTATCTGACTTCTAATCCACAAAAGAAGTTTACACTATGACATGTGAATAGAAAGAAGTAATAACTTAGGCTGTCAATCTTTGCATGTTTAATTTGCATATTAATCACAAAGTACATACACCATGCTGTTAAACGTACCTTAGAACACAGTCAGATCAAAGTTCAA